TCTTCCAAAATTCTTCTAGGGTTTTTTCTGTGTTTTCCTTGGTCTGTCTTTCAATCCTTTTAAGATACCTAAATGTAATTCTTTTGAATTCCTTATCAGGGAGTTCCAATGCTGCATATTCCTCAGGGATGTGTTTTGGGTTTGTCTCCTGGTCCCTTGTTTCTCCTGCTTTATCTTGCTTTTTGTGTGGAGTGTGATGCCCTGTTGTCTCTGAGGCATTGTGACATTTTTGTGTTCATATTTAATTGATGATTATATGTTGGAATGACTTGCCCACAATTTTTGTTTTGTTTCGTTTGTATATTTTCTCTACAGGCAGGGTACTGTGGTGTGCTCTTTTATTCACTAGTTGACAGCCCTTATACACTCACCACCTGTCTCCTTTCCTGTTGTCAGCCGACCCTGGCAAACAGAGCCTATTCTTAGGTCCCTGGAATCCAAATGAGAATGCTGTCACTTTAAAGTCCAAAATGGTTGCCACTTGTAAACCGTCAAAATGGCTGCACCCTCAGTCACTTTAAATATCCAAAATGGCTGCCACGTGTAAACAATCAAAAAGGCTGCACCCTCCAGACTGCAGAAAGTCCACAGCTCAGATTGTCTCCCTCCTTGCTGTTTCTCTTCCTAGTCATAGGCCACCAGAGCAGTTGTCCCTGCAGCCCTTGGTAAGCGGGGCTGATCTTTAGGTCAATTCTGAGATCCCAACACCATTTGGAAATATTCAGGCTGTTGGTCTCGTCAGAGTAGCTGACAGTCCGCAGCTCCAACCTTCTCTGTACTCACTGTTTTCGTTCACGTTTTTCCACTAGTTGGTCCCTAATCCACTTCTGTATAGTTCCTTTCAAAGCTCAGAGTTCCAGGATTATCTTCTGTATCTCTGTCAATTGGTTTTTCTTTTCTTTGGTGAAGAGGGTCTGAGTTGCTTATCTGCCTCTTCCTCCATCTTACTGGAAGTCTGCCATTGAGTTGGTCCTGACTCCCTTTTTCTTTGATTTGTGGCTACATTCTGCAGAATAGTTAGGGAAGAGTCAGGGAAGACTCAAGAAGAGAGTGTGGAAAATTCTCTGTACCAGTCACTCCACTTTGCAGATTAGCTATGGAAAAACTCTGCCAGGGAAGGTTGTAATGGAGGTCATTGCTGCTTAAGTCTGCAAGTATATTTCTCCCAAAGTAAAATTTTAAAGAAAATTTTGATGCAGTTAAAGTGAACATATTGTATATTGTATACATTTTAATAAATGCTGAATTCATATTAGAATCTACTTCAGTGGCTTAAGGTACTGGTAGAAAAAGAATACAACTATAGCTAGCCATTTTGTATTAAAGCTTTTATTAAAACTGTGTCTTTACATCATATTTAAAACGGCATGTCCCACAGACAGATGTTTAAGGAAAAAATTTCTGTATACGATTATTGGCACACAAATTTAAGAACATAATTAAAACTCAGCTAAATATTTCTATCTATATATATATACATATTCAAATTAATGTCAATGACCTGGAATACCTGAGTTTTCAAGTTGTTGGTTTTCCAGATAGTGTAAAATATTTTCTATCCATTTTATAGAAGACACAGCTCATCTAACCAATAACTTTGGTTGACACATGCTGTCTCCTAAAGATCACAAGAAAGTCCTCATTGGGATTAAGGTTTGTCTTCAGAGGTTTCTTCTAACTGGAGGTCAGTCTGTGATGTAAGGAAGGATTCCCATGTAGCAAGGCACTAAAAAATGGAAACATACCATAATAAGATCAACAAGAGTTATTTTCAATTTTTTAAAAAACTAATAAATACTGACATATCTGTTTATTTAGCAATCTGTACAACTTTCTCCCATCCACTTGCCAAAATCTTTGTCATTTTGTACGTATTTGAATTCTTAATGAGGGATGCTATGGCAGTGGTGGGTATTGTTAAATAAGGGGAAAACTGTATTAACAGTTAAAAGATTAGCAATGACTGCTGCTGTTGTTAGCTGATGTGGAGCTGGCATCCAACTCATACGAAGGACTATTATGCTCCATAAGGTTGTCAATGGCTGATTTTCAGAAGTAGATCATCAAGGCTGTCTTCCTACAGCATCACAGTAACACACAGGCTCCACTGAGCCGACAAGTGGTGGCTGTATTTGAGGTACACTATCCGGGAAGCAAACCCAGGTCTCCTCCATGGAAGGCAAGAATTCTACCACTGACCCACCACTGCCTTCAGCATTAGTTGCTTTAAATAATACACTATTACCCATTGCCAAAAGAAAAAACAACACTACTCTACAGAGAAAAAGAAGGATGTTTTGATTGGAGGAGTTAGGCACTAAGCATCTAGAAAGAGGAATAGTGATACAAGTGTAGCCTCGATCAGATTTTAATCCCACTCCATCAAGGAGCTCTGGTAGCATAGTGCCTAAGGCGCTTGACTGCTAACCTGAAGGCTGGCAGTTCAAACCCACCAGCCACTCATCGGAAGGAAGATGGGGCAATCTACTTCCGTAGTGATACTGCCTCGGGAACCCAAGGAGGGGTTGCTGTGAGTTGGGTCTGACTCAATGGCAAATAACAACAACAACAACAACAACCACCATCAAATGTAAGTCATGTGAATTTGGGAAACTTGGTGAATCTTTATTAGTTTCTTCAGCTATAAACTAGACTAATGATAGTACTTACTATTAGGCAAGTATGAAAATCAGATTAATAAAATCTGATTAGTAAATCTGTATGTAGAATGCTTGGCACAAAGTAAAAGCTAAAAAAAATTAGCAATTATTATGTTATGATGGTCTGTTGGGATCCAGTGGTGAGGTTTTGGCATTAAGATGCCACAAGAAATGAAAAAAGATCAGAAGGGATCGAAGGTGGTAGTGACATATAAACATAAATGTGGCTTATTTCATGATTTTGCATAGGGCTGCTTTTCCCAACAGACTAGTCTAAGTTATCTATGTGAAGTTTATCCACAGCATAATTTTAATACTCTGCAAATATTTAGGATTCTTCTAAACATATTTCCTGGAATCGTGAATCAGCCTAAGAAGCTACACTTAATTAGGAAAGAAAATGTGCTTTTTCCCAAATGTGAACAGACTGTTTTATGTTTTTTTTTAATATAATATACTTCCAAGCTGGACTAGTATTCCTAAATAGTACCTGAAATAGTTAAAGTACTACTACATTTCTTTCTTTCTAATCCTTTTGCAGTTTTAATATGCACATATCTGACAACTAGTTATTAACTGGCAGATCAGAGATTTTTCAAACACTATAAAAGCACAAATAATGAAACAAGGGAAGAAAGAAGACTACAGAGCAACATTTTTAAAGTAGTGAAAGAAAAAATACTGTCAACCTAAAATTCTATACCAAGCAAAAATATCCACTATCAATGAAGTAGAGAAGATATTTTCAAATACAGAAAAGCTATAGAATTTATCACCAGTAGAATATACTACAAAAAATGACACAAGATGTAAATATGGATCTATACACAAAGGAATACACATGGTAACTATATGTACGTTGTTGTTATGTGTTGTCAAGTTGGACCCGACCCATAGCGACCCCTCCTTTGGTTTCTGAGGCGGTATCACAACAGAAGTAGATTGCCCAACTTTCCTACCGAGGAGTAGTTGGTGGGTTTGAACCACCAGCCTTCTGGTTACCAGTCGAGGGCCTACTACACTACAATACAAGAGCTCCCCAATTACATGTAGAGATAAAGAAAATGTTTTTCTTATGTAAATTTATTAAAAATATAATTGACTCTCAATAATAATAATGTCTTATGAGGGGTCTTCTATGTAAGTAAGTATATGACAAAAACAGCATAAAGACCAAAAGGGTAGGAATGGAAAGATATAATCATAAGATGTCATATGATAAGTGAAGTATTATAATATTATTTGAAAGTAGGCTATGTAAGTGTAAGATGCATACAATAAACCTAAAGTAACCAATAAATAATAAAAGAGTTAACACCCAATTGATCAATAAAAAATTAAAAAAATGTAATTATGTAAAACTGACTATAAATGCAAAAGAAGGCAAAAATGAGAGAAAGAGCAAAAAAATAGAGGGAACAAATAGAAAACAAGTAACAAGATAACAGATTCTAACCTAACCAAAACTAATCAACTTAAATGTGAACAGCTTAAACACCTTACTATAAGACAGAAATCGTATATTAAATTAAAAACAAGACCCAATTATATTCTTTTCCTAAGGATTGCACTTTAAATATTTTAACACAAATATATTAAAATTAAAAGGAAATCTTTCTCTCTCTCTACCTCCCTCCCCTCTATAGATATACATATATAAACACATACACATACATGAAACCAAACCAAACTCACTGTCATCGAGTCGATTCACGTGTATATATACACCAGGAAACATGAAAAGAAAGCTGGGTTGCCAATATTAACATCAGAAAAAGTAGATTCAAAGGAAAAATTACCAGATGGGGGGGGGTGCATTTCACAATGATAAATGGATCAATTAATCTAAAAGAAAAAAAAATCTAAATGTATATACATATAATGAGAGGTTAAATATACATGAAATAAAAACTGACGGAAATGCAAGGAGAAACATAAGCTCATAATTATAGCCCATTTCAATATCCCTCTCTTAAGAAGTTATAGAACATGTGGACAGAAAATTAACAATAATATAGAAAATTGGAACACCATCAATCAATTTGTCCTAATTAACATCTATAGAATGAAATGAGAATATACATTTTTCCAACACACAACATTTACCAAAATATTTAAGGCCATAATTACTTCTCACTAAACTTAAACTGATTTAAATCATATAAAGTATGTTCTCTGAATACACGGAATTAAATTAGAAATCAGTAAGAGAAAGGTAAGGAACCCTCATAGTGCAATGGTTAAGTGCTTGCCTGCTAACATAAAGGTCAGTGGTTCAAACCCACCAAGAGCTCTGTAGGATAAAAGACCTGGCAATCTGTTCCATACTACCATTAAGTCTTCCACCTAGGAAACCATATGGGGCAGTTCTACTCTATCCAATAGGGCCAGACCACTATAAGTCGCAGTTAACTTGGCCACACACAACAACCACCACCACCACACCAGCAGCAGAAAGATATAGGGAAAATGCCCAAACATTTGAAATCTAAATGCTGTTGTTATATGCCACTGAGTCGGCCCCAATGCATAGTGACCCCTCCTTGGGTTTTTGAGGAGGTATCACTGTGGAAGTAGATTGCTCAACCTTCCTTTCTAAACAAGACACTTATAAATCAACTCACTGGTCAATTAAGAAATCAAAATGAAAATTAGTACTTCTAATTAATGAAGATGAGAACACCACATATCAAAATGTATGGAATGCCACCAACAAAGTACATAGAATTTATAGTACTGAATGTCTGTATTAGAAAAGAAGCAAAGTCACAAATTAATGACTGTTACTTCTACCTTAAAAATGAAAAAAAAAAAAAAAAAATTACATAAAGTAAGCTGGAAAACAAAAAGACCCAGAAAAGGTCAGTGCAGAAAACTATGAAATAGAAGAAAAACAATAGAGAAAAATCTTTAAAACAAAAAACTGGGTATTTCAAGCAACCTCAAGCACACCCAACACCCAGATCTTGGTTCCTAAACACCTTTCTCTAACGAAAAGGAATCAGTGCTCCTTAGAGAAGTGGCTGCTTGTGGGGCTGGTGCAGGGAACATGCAAGATGAAACCTTGAATATCTTGCAGTGCCAGAAATGAGGAGGTGCTCATAAAGGTGACTGTGGCATGTAAAAAGGACATAGGATCCAAGTGGAAGAAGCTCAGTGGCCAACTTGGGGACAACTTGAGCAACATAATAAGTACTGTTCAATAAATAATAATAGTAACGGATTATAACCTACAAAATAAACACCCATGATTCCATATGAATGTAAGTAACAGTTACATAAACAGATAACTGGGGAAGAAGGGATAGCTCTTCCTATGGCACCATTCCAATTAATAAATGCAAAATGAATTTAAAAAAATGGATATTTCAGAACATTAATAAAATCAATAAACCTTTAGTCAGACTGATCATCAAAAAGGAAGAAAATGTAAATTACCAGTATCAGAAATGAGAGAAGTGACATCACTTCAGATTCTACTGAAGAGGAAAAATATAAATATTATGAACTTTATGCCTGTAAGTTTGACAACTTAGATGAAATGGACAAATTTCATGAATAACATAAATTACCAAAATTCACTCCAGAAGAAATTGATAATCTGAATAGTCCTAGACCTATTAATTAGAGTTTGTAGTTAAATATCTTCCCATAAAAACCTCAAGCCGACATCACCTGACTGGTAAATTACAGAAATAATACTACTACTACATAAATTCTTCCAAACAATTTAATAGGTAGGGATACTTTCCAACTAATTCTATTATGGTAGCATTAGGCACATATCAAAATAAGGGATGGAAAAAAAAAAAGTATATACAAAAATTCTAAATGAAATATTAGCAATCAAATCCAGCCATCTATAGGAAGAATTCTGTATCAATCAGCACCAAATGGTGTTTATCCCAAGAATGTAAACTAGATTAACAATCAAATATTACTCTATGAGATATATGCACACCCACGTTCACTGCAGCATTATTCACAATAGCAAAGAGACAGAAATAATTTAGGTGTCTGTTGATGGATAAAGGGATAAACAAACTATGGTACTCACATACAATAG